TTTTAGTTGTGAAATGACCAAATCTTAAAGGTTGAACTCAGAATCCATTTAGTCAACCCACTAATTTTATAGACAGGGAAATTAAAGCCAGAGAGTTTGAGAGTCTACAAAAAAAAAAAAAAAAAAATCACTCAACTAGTTGATGGCAGAGTCGGTTCTGGAACCAGGTCTTCCATCCTTAGTCCAGTATGAATTTAATAATATTTTCCTTCCTATCCTCTGCATACATGAATTTTACTTCCCTTAAAAGATATCTATAGATGCTCAGGAATTATTTATCTCATGTTTATTTTTAGAAATCATATCATATTAGAAGAATAACAAAACTAACAGTGAAATATGAATCTAGGTCTAACATTTGAAAGAGGGACATTCACAGTCTTTTTTGGCTTTAAGTTTCTGCCACAATACATGGAAATCAGGAAGGTGGTTAGAGAGGTACACAAGTACCTATTCATGATCAAATTTAACCCCAAAGTTCTAAAAAAAAAAATTTTGGAAGAGAAAAGGCATACTTTTGTTTTTGAGAGACAGAGTCTCGCTCTGTCCCCCAGCCTGAAGTAGAGTGGCCGATCTCAGCTCACTGCAACCTCTGCCTCTCGGGTTCAAGCAAGTCTCCTGCCTCAGTTTCACAAGTAGCTGGGATTACAGGCGTGCACCACCAGGTCCAGCTAATTTTTGTATTTTTTAGTAGAGACGGGGTTGCACTATATATTGGCCAGGCTGGTTCTCCTGATCTCTGGTGATCTGCCCGCCTTGACCTCCCAAAGTGCTGGCATTACAGGTGTGAGCCACTGTGCCTGGCCAGAAAAGGCATAGTTTTGAACACATTAAATCTGCATAAGTTGTCACCAAACTTAGTATAAACAATCATTACTATGCTAAAAGTTTCAGAGAAATCCTGGTCCACATTTCTTCAGCTGACTTAGTTGCCTTTAATTTCAGGTTTGTCTTTCTTTCTCTCTCTTTCTTTCTTTCTTTTCTTTCTTTCTTTCTTTCTTTCTTTCTTTCTTTCTTTCTTTCTTTCTTTCTTTCTTTCTTTCTTTCTTT